GACAACGACTTCATACTCGCATTCAAAAATAAATGAAATTATTGTTATCTAGAAAAATAGTTAATATCACATGAATATTTAACATCAAAGTTCACAAACTAATGTTAATAATCCTAACAAATACACTAGACAGTTACTGCAGTAGTAATGACGTTACAAGTTGACCAATAATGGGCAATTCAATATTCACACGTTTCAAACATGAAATATTAGGGTAGGAATACCTTTGACACAGCAAGTTAAAAAACTAAGACTGCATAAACTAGTTTTTGAATTTAACAACAAATATGTGTATTTTTACCAATTTGAAATTTTAGATGGCCACCAGAGAATGCCTAATACTATGGAAAATTAAAAAGTCTTTGTTTCCATAAGAAACTGCTATTTATTTTAATTATAATTTCAGAAAATATCCTTCTGGTCCCCATCAAAGTTCACTCAAGCCACAACAACAATTCAGGTATTTAAATCAGTCCAAGTTTTGGACAAGAAATTGAATGTCTCAATTTTACTTTTTCTGTTCGTTATTTTAAAATACAAAAAAATTTGTGTATAATTTCACCACATAAAATTTTGTCACATTAGCCAGCTACCAAAAAGCTACCAATGTTGTTGATGCTTTTTACAGGTTATTTTGAGATTCAATCCAACCACACACCTGTCAAAAGATTACATTTTCTTTTTTTAATCAAAAGGTCAGAAGTCAGCTATTCCATTCTTGGAGTGGGTGTACAAATGCTATGGAAGATGGAGAAACAAAATTAACAACATTATCAGGTTAATTACACATTGGATGCAAATTGCTCTTATTTCCAAAGAATAATCTCCAAGCGGATGATAGAAGATGCTTATCAAATGATACCATGTGGGATTCCCATCAGTGAGAGGGCAAAGGTCAACTAGAAATTTATAGTCTTTCTATACAGATACAAAATGCAGCCATTTTGTTTCTTCAGGGCAATAACAAACTCATTTTAAATAATTATTTAAATTTGTTTTTAATTTCAATTTTAATATTTTATACTGGGTAAAAAAAAGCAGAAACTATTATGCTACACTTTTGAAACAAAAAAATGATATTTTTTCATCTTTTTTTCAATGATATCTGCAAATGCCACCAAATATGAAATAGCATACATTTAACAAGAATACAAAACTTTGACAAACCTTGAAACAGTATTCTTCCTTGTAGTATATTTTACAAGACCTCTATAGCAAGATGTGTCGGTACTTACCAAAATCTGTCAAAATACCTTAGAACTCCAGCGACGATGATATGCTGACATTGACAATGACGACCAAACTCGGTAAAAGCCCCTGACTGATCCTTTAGATCTTTGTAATCAAACATTGACACAAATCCACATCCCTAGAACTGCAGCGGTGACACTATGCCAACACTCGAAGTGTACCCCACCTTGGGTGAAAACCCCTCGTCTGTCCTGAAATGTACCAGGGCTTACGTGAAAGCCCCCCGTCTGTACTGAAGGGTACCGAGGCTTACGTGAAAGCCCCCCGTCTGTCCTGAAGGGTACCGAGGCTTACGTGAAAGCCCCCTGACTGTCCTGAAGTGTGTGCCAGCATAAAATCATTAGATTGCTGCATTTAAATACTAATACAAATTGCCAATTTTTATAAAGCTTTTCAGTTCAGGAAAGCCATCCTAAGTGTGTGACCTATGTCATGTTTGTCAGTCATTACGTTTTAATATATGTATGTTTATGTACGTTATTAGTGTTTGGGTCAGAGGCCATGAAAAGCAATAATCAATTTTCATATTTTAAAAATATTTTGCTTATTGGGAAGAGAGGACTTGTACTAGAAACAAGTGAAGTAAATACACTACATTCAATTCTGAATTTTTGCAATATCAAACACACACTAAAATTCCCCCATACGTTTTATTATCATTATGACAGTACAAAATCACTGCTCTAAATTGTGTAGTTCCAGTGTTGTCTATTTCTATTTGCAAACATAATGACATCTACACTTCTCTTATCACCCCTCACCAGCAGTGTTTAACCAAAAAACGCTCACTCACTCACAGTCTACTCAAAACATTGGCATTCTCACTCCTATTATCACAATCAACAAATAAAATAAAGTATGGTACTGTTACTTTCACCACAATATCACAACACATAAAAGAGCTTTGTGCCGAATTCAAAATAGGTCATGTTTGTCAAATGAAAACAAAAATTTAGGGTCATGAGACGATTTTTTGAGATACAATGTCATGAAAAATGATTGAAATTGGCATTTCTACACTGCTTTCTTTGTGTCCACTTGGTCCAAAATTAACAAATGAATTATAGAAAATACATAAAATTCAAAACCTGAAGCATTGCATTGTTTATCGACTAAGTTATTTATTGTCTTGACAACAATAAATCCCATCATGCATTGCTGTTCTAATTCTGCTTCAGGTGTTCACTGAACACAAATAACTTAGAAAGTATGTAATGTTCCAAGCTCGCTCAGATGCAGTAATAACATAAGTAAAATAATCGTCCTATGAATTTGAAAGATAGGGCTATACAGAAAACAACTCAAGAATCAAACAAAACTTATTATAAATAATAATAATAAAAAAATCCATAAAAACAGAAGTTCATGGCCCAGAAAATTGTTGACAAATAGGACATGATGACATCAACTGTGTCATGCAGGTCAAAGAACATAACTTACTTTTGTGTTCACTTTCTGCTTCAGATTCAGACGTATAGGGGGATGCTGTTGACTGTGATGAACCTGAAAATTTAGAGAGAATTTATGTAAATTAATGTTGTTGAATTGCGCATCTATCACTGTTTAAAGCAATTGAGCGGAGAAGCAGTTTTGAATGGTAAAAACTGATATGAAATATTCATATTAAATATTCATATTACTACTGATTCTACAAAAGACGAAAAGTCATGATTGAGATTAAATAATTTTAAATCCAGAAATGTTATATATATATATATGGTTACTGCTTAGTTAAAGTTACAGAAATGATGATGGTGGTGTTACAACGGGAAACATGACATGGACAATCCAATTTTACCAAACAATTGACCACAGTAAACTAGTAAGTCACAAACAAAATATGGTTATATTAGTAATACTCATATACAATATGACATCATCTTACTGAGTGTGCAGATGGCTGTCCTGGAACACCAATGACATACCTGAGATGGTACCAAACAAAAGCTGAAATGCCATTTTTGGAATCCTAACAGCTAATTGGGAATTCAGACCATACAATACTATGACAGGGTGTCTTCAAAAGACAACAAAACAACCTTAGTCCACAACAGAAATAATCAATAACCAGAATGCAACACGGCATAAATAATCAATAACCAGAATGCAACACGGCATAAATATCAATTTAAAAGCTTAGAGATCAACATATACTGGTATGTACAGGAAGGTATTCCTGTCAGTTTCTAAAAATGAGAATTAAACTGACAGGGCAGGTAGTGATCACTTCAGCATTTGCAGATCTGAAAAACAAAACTGAATAAAATTCTGACAGGAAGTAAAACACTAAAGACAGGAAACCTGACTTAAGTTTTATCTTTTTAACACTAGGATTTTATCCAGCAACATGTCTACCTGTCACTTAAGTAACAAATTGCATCTGACAAATAAATTTTAATTAAATACTACAGTTTTATCTTTCATTTCAACATCCTTATTTCTGAAATGTCTTTGATGCGTAAGAAATTAACATTTTCAATATAATTTCCAAGATTTTTAATTAACAGCCATACATCTAAGCCCTCGGAATGTTCAATTCACGTTTATATTGCACACTTGTTTGACCCCTGTAACCAGGTAAATAACCAAGTAAATAACCAGGTAAAAAACCAAGTAAATAACCAGGTAAAAAACCAAGTAAATAACCAGGTAAAAAACCAAGTAAATAACCAGGTAAATAACCAGGTAAAAAACCAAGTAAATAACCAGGTAAAAAACCAAGTAAATAACCAGGTAAATAACCAGGTAAATAACCAGGTAAAAAACCAGGCAAGTAACTAGGTAAATACTGCACAAACCTTGATCGCTAACTGTCACATTTCAATGATTGTTAATATGAAATATTAAATCATGAAAATGTACTAGGTAATAAATTAATTAATTTTATAAATCATCGCTTCAGTAATGAACTGTGTATTTTAAACACCATAAATATGCATGAAATATAGGGGGGATTCTATGTACAATGAGAGAACACGCAGAACTTGTAATCTAATATGGAATTTTATTTCCTGACAAATACACTATGCATGGCACAACAATTGAGATGTTCCCCACAACAAACAATTTAAATAAAACAACACAGATGCCATTACCCTTTTTGTTAATCCATAGACCTTAGAAAAGGTCTATGGTTAATCTGAAAATCATGAAAATTGTTAACATCGCCCTCCTGTGGCAGTTTGTTGAAAATAACAATAAACATTAATAGCGCCCTCAGAGTTCACAGAACACATGATATTGTTCTTTAAACAGAATGAAGCTACAAAAATAATCAACAATGTGTTGGCTGTTATTTTATTTTATTATTACAGTCAGGAATCAAAGTGTAGCTCATAAATACTGTAGAACACTTCAAAACATAAATAATGACAGTTGAACCCCGCGTATCAGAAACAGCCAGACAGCACCCGTAAGTTTAGTGATTATTATCGCTGATAGTTTATCAGTATCCCAGAAAGAGACCTGTATACATGACAACCGACAAATGAAGACTAACAATATGTGTTTAACATCCGTCACTCAGAATTGCGACTGATGAATTTTCAGACTGTCTTGCTAAAAACCATGGCTAATATGTATGCACAAACACACATATGTATACATTGACTAGTTCACATGTTGTTACTAATCACAACTAACAAGGTGGAAGTCAAGAACAATTATGCAGTAAACTATTATAACAGGCAATGATAACTTATTAGTTGTCCACTATCTAAATTGAGTAGCATAGTGTTAATAAAGAAAACAATACAAACCATATCAATAAATTCATGATATCAGACAATGTATTGGGCATTTCCTTAATGTTGGCACTCAAATTACAGACCAAGCATTATAGATAATTATGAATCTCATGTATCAGTACTACACGTCTACTCAACCTTCCTCTCAAGACAACATTGTATGACTTTGGTGCCAAACAATTCTCCCTGATTCACAGATTGTAGTATAAAGGTGAAGCTGTCTGGAAACCCTCCCTCTAACTGTCAAAAAAAACAAATTACTTCTGCCAACCACTATACATATTTTAACACTAATCTGCATCAAGGAGTGAGTTATAGCCATCAGTCCATATATATTTTTTTATTCTCAGAAAAAATTAGTCACCAAAGCCTCATTCCACACAATCCATTAAATTGAATAATTGTTACCACTTCAAGGGTTCCCTGCAATGAGATAC